AACACAACCATAAGAATATGCACATAAACTTATCTTTAAGTGTGTAGTCGAACAGGGATTTTCAGYTGGGGTGTTATTACAATTTTTCCAAGAAAAGGAAGACAATGAACCTCCTGTCAGGCATATTCCTGCTAGAGTTCACAGGTGGTGACTCCATGAGCAAGGACTTTTCAGCTCCTAACCACCACTATGACTGCAGAGCACTATGCTTCAGGTTTATTCAGGTGCATCTAATGAAACTTAAGTTTCTGCTAAGGAAAAGAGACATTTATTCCACAAGCAGAATTTCACCTTTCCATTTAATGTCCTCTCAACTACATGCTCCAAATTAGGATGGTCATTTCACCTACAGAAATACTTCTGCCCAAGGAAAGCAAAGCAAGATCCCCAGGGGGGTTGGAATTCTATCTCCTGCAATCTTCTGTTTGTGAATTATTGAACTTTGCCTGTCACTTTTGTTGATGTTGTACCTCATTACAACATGAAACCAGTGAAATGTAGAGCAGTCACTATTCTCTCTTAGCAACAAAGTGAGCAGTTAAACAGCACAYGCTATGCTTAACCCAGACCAGGCAACAAAACTCAAAGTTCCCTGAAAGTAAGTGCATCACACTTGATGTCACAAATTGCTCTTGTTGTATAGCATTCCAAACTAAAAATAGGGGAAGGAACACAAAATTTTCTGAACTGACACTCTAGAACTTTTGTGAACCTTTATTCCCAGTCCAGATTTTTTGTTAGTTTTAGAAAACTTTAAAGGGGAAGCCATTAAAGAGAGAGAAACAGTAAAATGTCATTTCCATCTCAAACTAGGTGACTCAGCAAGATATCACAACTAGATTTTGTTCTTTTTTTGCCTCAGACATAAGAATGCAAAGTCAGAAGGAATGTAGATGCAACCAGAYTCTTACAGCAAGAGCAAAAGCAGTTAAGACTTCAAACATCCCACAGAACATGTTTTAAAGAACATCAGAAGCTGGGATGAATGTTCTTGCAGTAGTCCAACGCAACATCTCCCAGCATACGAGCAAATCCACTCAGAAGGGAACTCATCCCATGACCCAATTACAACACAGTTTTATTTTGGAGATCACTCAGCTGTGCCTCAGTGACAAAACAAGAGTCTGGAGCTATCCCAGTGCAAGTCCGGTTGCAGAAAGTTTTCACGCATACAAAGCCATAACTATGTTAAGTCAGGACACTTGTCCCTCCTACAAAATCTACACCAATAGCAATTAAAAAAAGGAAAAAAAAAAAGCAGAAAAAAAAAGCAGAAGAGAAAAATAATGGCTCTCTATTAAAAAAAATGGGTCACCAATAACCTGAATTCTAGGTAATAAGAGATGGGGAAATAACTTACTATAAACTAAGGAGACAATTCAAACAAGGTTCAGCTGTAAGATACCCCTTTGCAATTGCTGCCACCAACTGAATCTGAAATTGTATTTGGAAATTTTAGTCACATGYTATTGCTTTTTCTCTCTTGCCACTGCTGTCTACATCATGGTAAGAGAGGTTCACAATAATAGCAACAGCATCAAATTGCAAAAGGTTTTCTTTTCTGTTGAATCTGTACTCTGAGAAGTATCAACCACACTTATAAAATATTTACAGGTTTATCTTACTTTGGACAGATTTCTTCACTATCATGTTAARAGTTGAAAGGGGTGAAGCAAACAGGATATTAAGCCCATTCTTTTATTAAACAATAAGATTTCCAGAAGTTTAAGTTCTGGAATTTACCAAAYGTTGCTTGTTAGTTYTGAGATCACTGGTGGTTAAATAAAAATACCTAAGGACTAACAGAGAWGCAGAGAGGCTTTCAAAAGAAATTTTAAACTTCTCTGTCTTCTCTGGTTCACAAACACAGCTAGAATAATTAGCAAAGTATTTTGCCTTTTTTCTCCTCAAAATCATAATTATGGTGCATCTATGCAAGACACTCAAGCTCAGCAAGCACGGAGATTCCTGACAACCTCAATTACAGTTAGGTTTTTCAAATGTGGAAAGGGCTTTTGGTTGGACAGTATCACTTCTGAAACTAGTTTTAAACTTGTCTTAATCTGTGGGCTCTTAATATTTTGAAAATTGAGCTTATTGGCAACAGGCTCTTTTTCTTCATTAACTTTTGGAGACACTGAGGAAGTATTGCACAGTTCTGGAGTTCACAAACGGACAGCCACTAACTGATGCCTGTCTGACCCCAAAGAAGCATTCAAATAATGGCAGGACCGCTGTATCTGAAATCCAGTTTTGTAATCCCTGCAGACTCAGTCAAGATTTTTGCCCCCTGAAAATTATGTTCTTTTTCCACGACATCTGCAAGTCAAAAGCTGAAGCATATTTGGAATGCAGCATGTGGGAAGCTTAAAGTATTCCTGTATACTGTGTAATTAGTGTGCAAAAGGGTAAGGTCCATTGGTCTCAAAGATTCTCAGACACACTACCATATGAAACACATTTCCTTCTCAGTATTTTAAAAGCTTACAATGAATCAGAATTATTTTGATCTGAATGTTTCTACTGTATTCAACAATGCTAAGTCTCCAAATGGACTTTCCCAAATAAGAGAGTAGATACAGCACTTACCAAAACCATGAAAGAGCACTACGAAGCTCATAATTTTCAAAAGCATTAAGACAGTTGTGCCATGTCTACCTCAAAGCCAATCAAACTTTAAAATTAAGTTGAGCAATTTCAGTTGCAGCCACCTCAAGTAAAAGAAGATCTAACACAACAACACCATATTTGCAAGTGACAGCCTGTAGATGGCCTAAATCCAAGAACTCTGCTATTTRTCCATCATCATGTATCCCACAGCACACTTACAAAACAATATGCATTAATTTTTGACTGGTACTCTTCACCTCTGTCCAACAGAAATTACATAGTTTTAATATCTTTGKGTATTTTTCACACTGCTCCATAGTAAAGGCATTCCACCCCTGGRGGAAAAATGGCAAAAAAAAATGCTGCCAGCCAGTTCTCAGGTACACCTTTTTTAAGTTTTACCTGGAATACCTTCATTGCCATGAAGTGCCAGTTATTATGTATCACATTTACCTTTGCTATAAAATCCATTGTTTGGACAACTGACAATTATTAAACAAGAGTTCTAGTAACTAGATTCGTGACTTCTAGATAATTTTATGATTTYCATCGCAGAAAAAGAACCTTCCTAAGAATACCAATATTTGTCTTCCTCGAATTTATCACAATGTTGATGAACACCTCAAGCTCAGAGCCAGACCCCTACAAATAACAAGGCTTAAAGATCTATTTTGGAACTATGTACATCTATGTAGGTTCATGTTAAAGTTTTCTTACCTTAAYCATGGGGACTAAGAAAACAAAAGAAATAGATGTTTGCTAAATAAATTRGGATGGGAGGGAAGCAGCTATCACGTGAACTGCCATTATTGTCACGCTGTTTCTGTGGGACACCCATAAAAGTACAGAAAACGAGTTTTTTAGCAGAAAGGAATTATGCCAGTAGAACTGTTATCAAAAGAGCAGCATTATTTCCTGTACTGTCAACTCTGTCAAACTTAAATGTCTACTCTGCAGGGAAATTTATATGTATCTGGACATCATTTCCTTAAAGAATTATTTCCAGAACTGCTAGACAACCCGAGGCCTTTCAAGTCTGCATAAAGAAGTAATCTAATGTTCTATAGCAACAGAGTTAGAAAGGGTCCTATAATTGCTTGGGTCCATCAAATCTGCTGCTTTTCATCCTCAACTGAAATTACTAAATGTAATACTGCACGTAATAAATAAATATTGTTTCTCTTGCACACTGATCATTACAATTCAACTACTCAAGGTTTAGAYTTCTCTCTTCACTTGCCCAACTTCTCCCTATCCAAACATCAGAGACACAAAATACAGGTTTTTCTGCGTTTTTTAAATCATGCTAATTCTGCCAAAACCCATTTTTAATGCCTGTACCCTCACATTTCATTTCAAATAATTTCGATTTTGAGCTACTTAAGTGCCGCAAGTATAAAATCTTTCCAGAATCTCTTCTCCATAGTTTACAGCTGCTTTCCCTATTACATCATKTAAGTTCTTCCCAGTTATTCCTCCTTTATTTCTTGCAAAGGGACACCGAGAGTGGTACGAAATACCCAGAGCTTCATTAGGAGGAGCAGAGGGGCTGAGTAACACCGCGCAAACGCTTTACAGCAGCGCCTAGAAACGAAAATTKGATCGAGACACCATAAAACCGGTTTAATCTACAAGTATTTATATGCTGCACAACAACGCTGAAGAGTGAAGAACATAAAACACACTCGCACATAAAAGAGCATCACGGCCGTCGCCCGCCTGCGGGACGCGGGTGTTACCGGGGCAGCGCCGACCCGCGTGGCCGCTGCCGTGCGGCTYCGCCCGCCAGGGCCCCGCTGCGGCCGCTCATCCTGGCATCGGGCGATGCTGTCCCGTGAGGCAGGCCCTGCCCAGGCCGTCTTGCCCCCGCGGACGCCGCCGCCGCCCCGATGCCCCTCACCTGTGGGTGGCGGCRCCGCCCGGTACCCCCGCTCCGTCCATCGCGGCACCGCCGTTGCTATGGGCCCCCGCCAGCCGCTGTCCTTAGCAACGGCGCGCGGCACAGAGGCGCGCYGCCATTGGCCGGAGCCGCGAGCACGCCGCCCGCCGATTGGCCGCAGCGCCGCGCACGCGCAGCGCCACCAAACGGCCGCCCCCGCCCCTCCCCGCGGGAGTCGCCGCCGCCTCCGCCGGGATTGAGGGAACAGCCCCGCCGGAAACCACGTGGGGCACGGAGCCCTTTCCATGGACACTTCCCCTGGGAAGACCGCCCCAAAAGACCCCCCCGCCATTGCCAAGACCCTGCCCCGCGCCCGCCACGGCGTTTCTCAGGGGCTCTGCCAGGCGCGGTAGGGGGGCTGGGTGAAATCACGTCCCCTCTCAGCTCCCGAAAGCGATATCGTCTGTTCGGGCGTGTCCTTGCACGCAGCAGAGCGGCTGCTCCCGCCAGATCAGGTGTGAGATTCTCTCCTCGAGAGCCCGATGTTCGCATTCACCAGGATGTCCGCAGCGCTCAGCTTCCCTTGCTCCCGCAGGTACTTCATTAGGTGAGGCCGCCGCCTCCAGGTCACCTTTATTCCATACTCGTGCTCGGGAGTATCTGTAACCAGTACTGCTGCCGACTCCCCCCTCCCACAGGGATCAACACCAAACGCCAGCTCTTTTTCTGGATGCCAGACATGACTACTTTGTGACAGAGTGTTGCTGTATCCCTCATTCCTTGGGGAAGGCACCTGTGCAGCCTGTGCATATGGTGGAGTAAGGACTTCTTGTTCCACAGGCTGGGGAGCAGGCTCTCCACTGTTCTCTGCAGCCTTCACCTGGATATTGGCATTTGCCTCTGTCCCTTTGTTAGACTGGTTGTGAGAGTACTGTGCATTCTTTCTCAAGCGATTTGGATCATCCAGCTGATGGACTGCATGTCCTTCTGGATTCTCAAAAGTTAAAGGAGGAAATCTGCAGGCTGCAGCTCTTCGACAGGCTCCTCCTGCATGAARTGAACTGTGGCTGGCATCCTGATTATAGGGCTTGTGAGGACCACGATGCTTCTTCTGGAATGCTTTCAACACCACTGACTTAGTTGTGTCGAATTGTGGGCACACCTGAAGGGAAAGACATAATAGTAAGATAAAACACGAACCTTTTTCTCCAGACAAGTAATGCCAACCTGATTCTACTTCCTCACCATTTTTTCCGTGTTTTCATTGAGCAATCTGGCCTGCAACAAAGCAAATGAGTCACTAACAAAGTTAGCGTGCACGAGATACCTCTGAACTTCAACATCATTCTGCCACTCTTCTCTGGAAAGTCACTGGGTTGCAACTGAGCTATCCTCTGGCAACTCATAAAGAGCTCAGGATCTGGGTTTTGAAGGAAATCTGAGTGGTGCCTACTCCTTTAACCCCTGCATATTTAAAGGAATTCAGAAAGGATCCTTTTTCTTTCTGTGTCTTAGCCTAAGTCAGATTCAAAGAACTAAATCCTCAGCCTCCCTGAAAATGTAGGGGATGAACTGCGAGAGCAATACTTTATGATTGAAGAATGTCCACTTACCTCAATCCCCTTAGATTATGTTAATACGGTGTTCAAAATCTTCCCCCAAAACATCCTTGTTTCAAAACACAATTAATTTCTGTATTCTGGAGAAACAGATCACCCAAAATCCACTTCTACAATCAGCTTTCTATTGAAGAGCTGGTCCAAGTGCAATAGTCTGTTTCTTTGAATGATTCTGGACTGTTACTCAAACCCTGGAAATACTTTTATTACAGTGTTCTTCATCTTCCTGAATATCCACAAAAGAGATTCTGTCTCAAATTCCAATTTGCTTTTCCCAAGAGCACACCAAACTGAGTTCTTGCTACAGTAACTTCAGCATTGCTAAGTTACTACATAGCTCTCAAAAAGCTGAATGCAGTTTAACTAAGGATGGTAATTGTCTGTTCAGTTGAACTTTTGAATGCAAAGCCTTTGTGCAGGAAAAGAGAAGTGATTCTGTAACAGTTGKGTCCTGGCACATATTTAACATAGTCCCTGATTTTAAGGATACCCTGGTTTCAGAYAATGTGTAGGATACATTTCACCTATGCAGAAACCTAGCAGTGGAAAAGGTATGAAAAACCTAGATAATGYCAAAAAGAGAGCAGAAAATCAGTTTCCAGTGAAACAAGTTGACAGACACTCTGCAGAGGATGCCTCCAGAAGTTACAAACCTACCATAGGTTCCRAATYGAAAAATATSTAACAGTTTAAGTRCTGATAGCTTSCAACAAATCTTAGAATTATTGTATTTTTGKAATTAWGGAGCTACCAGTGTRGGTATTTCCACCTCTTCCAAACAAAAAGAATGCTTATTCACAGCGGTTATTTTACTTACTGATTCAGACTATAGAACTAACTGCCTCAAGCAYATACAAAGAAAAATGGAAGAGGAAAAAATTGAACATGTTCTACTTCAAGGTTAAAGCACTGCAAAAATACCTCTAGGTCAACAGGAACAAAGGAATGTTTCATGCAGGTTTGGAACCACACTTCCTGAGATTGCTTTGTGAAGAGCAGAGTCAAGCATCAATAATGTTTAAACAGAGCTCCCCTAGGTGATGGCTACTGTTATATAGGAACAGTCTGTCTTTGCTGCAGCTGTTTGCTTAAAGAAAAAACCTTTACATTACACAATTTAAGGAGTATTTTAGGACACTGCAAACAGTCCCAAGAAAAGGAATCCATCCAAAGATTGTTATGGAGAGAAACTGTTCAAAACATAGAGAATGGAAAAGAGGCAGGTTAGAATAAATAATTMTGAAGTGATAACCTATGTTCTCTAAATTTAGCAGTGTCCGATTTAAACAATGCACCCAATACATTAACAGGTAACATTAAGAGTCCAGCAGTTATTTCAAACAGCAAGCCGCTAAGAAAAATGTTCTCTAATGTTTATTATGTGCAGGGTTTTCAGTTGCCAAGGAAAACAGTGTTTTCATGATGGGAATTATTTTTCTAGAAGACAGTCATATTAATCAGTACAGACTGCACACAATTTATGTCTTCAAATAACTAAGACCTTAATGCTTATTCTTAGAATGTGAAACAACTCAAGCACTTATTTATGYTTTAGGCTGATAGAGGGAATTCAGGTCTGGCCTACTAATTTTCCATATTCAGAACAGGTAACTTTCTGTTAAGACATACAGGAAAAACTTGAAAAATGTCAAATTGGGATGCAGGGGAAGGATAATCTATACCAACCCAGGCAACACAGGTGTTCTGGTCCACAGGTTTTGTAGGCACACGTCTGGGATTCTTGGCTGACTGTAGTGGAGTTTCATAACAATGGATGGGTCCTGCCTGTGGCCTCTCAAGGAAAACCAGCTCTGCCTTCCTGGACTTGTGAGTGCACTTCTTCTTCGGAGGCATCAAAAGGTGTGGTAAAACTGCTTAGAAACCTCATGATGCTTGTTGGAGCCAATTGAAGAAAGAAGGAAGCACTCCAAAGAGATGCTTTCAAATCTGTAGAAGGCAAATAAATGGATTTGAAGASAGGCTTGTTTGGAAACCTCAGATCTAATCTTTAACAAAAGTAAARCATTTATGCAACAGCAGTGTACACATCTCTGGGCAGACTTTTTCTCAACAGTTGTTTCTGAACATTTTGTCAATTTTCAGRTAGATTTAGAAATGCACTGCAGGAATGGGTGTTGTTGACCTACTGATCCACATATCAAGTCAGCTATCAAAAAAATTCAGAAAAAATTGTTTCCTTTTTTTAGTTTAATCTGGTTTGTAGTGCCAAGAAGATACTGTAGGGCCAAGATAACCAGAAGTCTTTCAATTTCTAGTTGCTAACTACTTAGGCTTTTTAATTTCAAGAAATTTTAAGTTTGGGTTGACATTTACTTCCTGTTTTCTACAGATCTTGCATGATCTTTTTGTTTGTTTTACCTGATAAGTTTGAATTGAAGTGATGTTGAATTTAATTTTCCWTTGGAAAAGAAATCACAGAATCAATTAGGTTGGAAAAGACCTTTAACATAACACCACCTTGTCAAYTAGACATGGCATGTGTCCAGGGACAATGACTCCATCACCTCCCTGGGCAGCATATGCCAATGTCTAATCACCCTTTCTGTGAAGAAATTCTTCCTAATGCCAACCTGAACCTTCCTTGGTACAACTTAYGGCTATGTCCTCTTGTCCTGTCATTTGTTGCCTGGGAGAAGAGGCTGACCCCAACTGGCTGCACTCTCCTTTCAGGCCGTTGTATGGAGTGATAAGGTCWMCYCTGAGCCTCCTTTTCTCCAGGCTGAACAACCCCAGCTCCCTCAGCTTTTCATCGCAGGACTTGTGCTCCAGACCCTTCATCAACTCTGTTGTCCTCCTCCGCACCCACTCCAGCCCTTCAATGTCCTTCCTAAATTAAGGGACCTAGAACTGGACACAGAACTCGAGTATCTCACCAGTGCCGAGTGCAGGGGAGCAATGATTGCCCTGGTCCTGCTGGCCTCACTATTGCTGATAAAGGCCAGGATGCCATTGGCCTTCATGGACACCTGGACACACACYGGCTCATGTGCACCCAACCTGACTTGTCACAGACAAGGAAATTGGAGAACATTTTAAGAGAAATATGTAAGACTGCAACAGCTTGACTGCTTACCTAAGGCGCAGTGTATTCAGGGAGTCCTGCGGGCCCCCCTAGCCCKGTGCAGCCGTGACACACACGTTAAACGGTAAAACTCCGTGGCTCTTCACCAGGACTCGGCACAAGGCCGACGGCCCGGGCGCGCTGCAGGGCTCCCAGTCGCGGGCGGCATGGCTGAAGGAAGTTGCAGGCACTGCCCCAGTCGGGGCCGGAGCGGCTGTGCCGGGACAGGGACGAGGCGGGCGGGACAAAGTGATTCCGGGAGCAGCCGGGGCTCTCTCCCGCCCGCACATCCGTATCCCCCGCGCCCGCCGCCCATTGGCCCGGCCCGCTGCGGCCCCGCCCCCGCCGCGCCCATTGGCCCGAGCCGGCTGGCCCCGCCCCCGCCGCCGCTCACTGGCGCAGGCCGCCACGTGACCGGGCCAGCGCTCCGCCGGGCGCCAAATTCAAACCGGGGCCGCTCCGGGAGCGCTGGAGCCGCCGCCGCCCTGCATCGGCCCTGCCCGGGCAGCTGGTGAGTCGGGACCTGCGCCCGCCCTGCTCCTCCAGGGTGTCTCCGCAAGGATCGGCACCCCTCGGAGGGCCGCGTTAGGGGCATCGGGCTGCTGGGAGAGGGAAACGCCCAGGCCCGGCCCGTGGCGGAGGGCCCTGCGGGAGCAGGTGAACTTGCTGGCGAGCKCGGCGCCACTGGGGCTGGAGTGGGTGAAGAAAGAGCTGCGCTCCCTTTGGCGCTGCTCTCCTTGTCCCCCGGGGCCGCGTGTACCCAGCGGTGGCCCCGGGCCTGTGCGGGTGGGATCAGCTCGAGGCCTCCTTGGGAAGTGACGCGCTCCTGTAAGGGACGCAGCCTTTTGGAGGCAGGCTGGAGGTTCTTCTTTTGGCGCTGTCTTTGCGGGATCTCTCCTTAAGGGGGTGGAGCAGATCGCAAAGGGCCGAGAGTGTGCCGGGTGCCAGAACCCGCGTGGAATGATCGCAGGGCWGTCTGCTCCCTGCACATCGGGTATCAGCTCAGCTTATCTGCTGGACTCTGCTTTGTATCAATGTAGGGACTCATTACCGATAATTTTCTCGTTTATTTGCTGACCTCGTCAAATCGAGCAATGCAAAAGGCCTCTTTTGTTTTGGTATTTGTTCTATTCTGCTTGCCATCTCTAATGATGAACAATAAGTAGAATTTGCATATTRATCTGGTATAGTTTGCTGAAAGCCATAGGCTCCAACGAATTCCTGATGGTATTATTAGCAGTATTCTCACAGCATCTTACCCTGGAAGCAGTACCTCTGATTTTTTTTTCTCTGCTTCCTACTTTATAGTCTAAATCACCTGTTGTTCCAGAAGTTTGACATTTAAATTGTGTGCTGCCCAATGATGACTTTACCTGGTTCTTGACAAATCTACAGAAGGAATGACCAGTGCATTTACTTTACATCTGTTTTAAAGCACCTTCCTTTTGCGGTATTTATTGTGTGCCTTTGTAGTGTTCAGGACAATCTCTGCTTCCCAGGTCTTAAACCACCTGTAAATTCCCTTTTCACTCAGGCTRTGTAATCTGCTACTTACAGCAATCAGCTATTAAAATCAGCACTGTTATTTCCATGTTCTACCTTCCCTCCCTTCCAGCTTGCTGACTGATGCTGGTCAAGTCACAGCAAAGTCACAGCTAAGTCTTTCTGTAAAGCACATATACGCACTTTGCTCGTTATTATGTACTTTATGATGCAGGTTATGTACASTGCAAATCTTCCTCCTGTCCTGCTTATGTAAGGTGCGGGTAGAGGAGGTGCAGTATGATTTTTCAGTAGCCTTGTCAGCCTTATTAAATGCTTTCAATTTTATTTTCCCTTTGTGTTTTTAGCTTTGTAGCAATTGCTGAGAATGTGTGCTCTGTGGGAGGCCTTGAGATAATTTGCTGCACCCTTTATGTTGTATCTTTTGTTTTGCAGGATTTGTTCCTCTCCCTTTCAATGGAGAGTGACAGTACAGATCAATAATGAGGACCAGCCCTCGCAGGCCCTTAATTCTCAAAAGGCGGAAACTGACCCTCCCACAGAAGGATGAATCCAGTACTTCAGCAAGAGATGAGAACAGAGGTCAGGATGAAAAGACTCATAAGCAGGAGCGCACCCAGGAAGACCAACACACCAGACAATCCAGAGACAAAAAGAACTGTAGCCTGCAGAAATTCCCAGTGGGAATAAAGATAATTGACCATCCTACAATGCCCAACACCCAGGTGGTGGCCATCCCTACAAATGCTGATATCCAGAGCATCATAGAGGCATTGACGGCAAAAGGAAAAGAATGTGGTAACAATGGACCCAACAAGTTCATTCTCATAAGCAGTGGGGGCACATCCCGTTCAGCAGGTCCAGCACCATCACAGCAGCTCCCATCAGAGAAGAAAGCCAGTGCAGCAGTCAAGGCTGCAGATGGTCAAGAAAGAGAGAAGAATGTTACACAGACACCTGGTCTTGCAGGCAGTACAGCACTCTGGCATCCAGGAGTTGATCCTGTGGTTGGACAGGAACAGGAAAGCAACAGTATGTAGTCTTTACCTGGGTTTTTTTTTTGTTGTTGTTTTTTTTTTGTTCTGACAGACAAAGAGATGTGAAATGGGCCAATGAGTGCAGAACTAGGATCTTGGTATGCAGTAATTATTAATATTTTGTTGATTACAAAATAGCTGTGGATTTGATTATAATAATCTACATAACTTTGAAGGATCTGAAGGATCATAGTGGATGTATTTTTTGGTGGAAGACATTTGAGTTTCTGACTTAGGTCTTGTGCTAAGTCTTCCAGTTCTTCAAGTACTAGATAAACATTGTCCTGTTTTCATTGATTGCAATAGTCTGGTTTGAGTGTTTGTTTTTAAGGCTGTGGCTCTTTTCAGAAATTGAGCAATTACACATGAAATCAAGAATTCAAGGTGAATTTCTTCCACAATRTTAGCATTGCAATACCATCTTTTAGAAGTGTGCCTGGTGCCTTTTGACAGCTGAGATGAAGGGGAAGCAGAGTTACTTGCAGAGTTATGATAAGAGGAAGGCTCTGGCTACGTAGTCTRCGTGGACTTCAATAAAGCCTTTGACACTGTCTCCCATAGCATTCTTCTGGAAAATCTGGCAGTCCRTGGCTTGGTCAGGTACACTCTTCACTGGTTAAAACTGGCTGGATGGCTGGGCCCAAGGAGTGGTACTGAATGGTGCTACATCTGCTTGGTGACCGGTCACTAGTCGGGTTGCCCAGGGCTCAGGGTTCAGGCCAGTCCTGTTTAATATCAATAATCTGGATGAGGGGATCAAGGGTACCCTCAGTAARTTCACAAATRACACCAAGCTGGGTGAGCGTGTTGATCTGCTGGAGGGCAGGAAGGGTCTGCAGAGGGATCTGGACGCTCTGGATCAATGGGTCAARGCCAATTGCRTGAAGTTCAMTAAGAYCAGGGGCCAGGTCCTGCACSTGCACTGCAACAGCCCCTGGCAGTGCCACAGGCTGGGGGAAGAGTGGCTGGAAATGTGCCCAGCCAGGGAAAGGAYCTGGGGATGCTGGTCAACAGCATCTGAACATGAGCCAGCTGTGCCCAGGTGGCCAATAAGRCCAGTGACATACTGACCTGTATCAGCAGGACCAGGRCAACGATTGTCTCCCTGTACTGCACACTGGTGAGGCTGCACCTCAGGTTCGCTSTTCAGTTTTGGGCTCCTCATGACAGGAAAGACATTGAAGTTCTGGAGCATGTCCAGATAAGGACAACAGAGCTGGGGAAGGTTCTGT